AGGTGAAATTGTGTGTACCTCATTTGTATGCGTATAATAAAGAGCTGTGCAATTAGATAGGTGTTATAAATAGGATGTGGTGGAGATGTTTAGGCTGCTCAGGTTTCCTAGATTTTATAGCAAGTGCCCAGGCGAGATTGGCTGCTCTCTAATTTGGCCGCTCGGGCTAACCAGCTGACGCCTGGCTGAAGAGAGTTATGTTCCTACAAGGCCACAGAAGCCCCAGTGTTCGGGCTGCGTCTCCCTCGGATTGCGGAGAACTCTGTGTACCATCAGCAACTTCAATCCCACCCTTTAGGCCAACCCTCATCTATCAAACCCGGGCTGAGAGGGAGCGAGAGGAAGCTCCCAGATAAACATACAGCAGCGCCTAAACTCCTAATCACTCTGGGCTTCCGCTTCCAGGCCCTATAATTAGAAGTCCTTCTTTTCCTTGTATTCCCAGTTGACGCAAATGCTTTTTGTGGCTTGGCACCTCATTTAGGGCGTGGGCTTAGTTTATGGCCAGGCCAGAGTCTGGTTTAGTCTTCTGATACTGCATAAATAGCTCTTAACCCACAGTCTACATCTGTACTAGTTTTTCCTTTTATACATGTATTCTTATTTTTTACCATTTCCATCCTGAAAGAAGCTTATTGTTCCTCAAAGAGAAGGCATGAAAAGTAGGAAGCTGTAAATTAGTGCAAATATATCTGTCAGGTAAAACAAAGCTTTGGTCATTTTTTTTAATCCATCTGGGGTATCTGTTCCTTCTAAACTGGATTTTAAACATCTCTGCGGATTTGAAAAACCACACGGTAAAACAGTCATTAATTTAACCTAGCTGCACCCCTCACATTATGGATGAGCAAAAATCAGAATTGTTGCTGTGAGATACATGTTAAGTAATATCTGCTTTACACATAAATTTCTACTGGGTTCTATGTATGCAAGACACTCAATTGATTTCAGATGTTATCTGTGAAACAGGGATTAATGCCAGTTTGAAAAATAAGCAGGAAATCCTTGAGAATTATTCACTTTTCATCTGTGATTATTCGTACATGAAGTACATCATAAGAGAAAATGTTTTGGACTGAACTTATGACAGCTTTAACCCGTATTTCCGTCTAAACAACTTTTTGGGAAAACTGTCACAAAGTCCTTTAGAAAGCTGAGTTAAAGCTTCCTGCACTTGAAAGCGAAAGTGAGATAATGACCAAGATTCCAGAATCTCCACTGGGATTAGGGATTTCTGCTGGGGTGTTGCAGCAGCCTTTCCTTGCAGGGAGATGGAGAGAGAAACTAAATGGCTGAGCTGTAATAATTGAAAACTGTGATTCTTCAGTGTGAAGTAATGAGAGCTGGAAAATACCACACCAAAACCCAAGTCAAATGTTGTAAAACATCAGTGATTTATTGTTTGAATAACAGTAGTAAGGAAGGTATTTCAAAATGCTGTTTTATAAATACACGTTCTTTCACATCTGTGGTATTGTGCCTGGGACCTCTGTGTTGATACAAGTTCTTCAAGTATATATTTGTATTTCAAATGCAAATGTGAGTATGAAAGGTCCTCCTTTAACTTACTGAAAAATAGTCTCTAATATAAGCACAGGGCCTGTTTTCCCTTGCCTTTCATCTAATAAAATGCATTTATTCCGACCAGTGACAGACAGCAGGATTTTACATCAGGCATGCAAAACTGCCAAATCAGATACCACCCATCTTTCTATTTTTAAGCCAATTCCTTTCCACCCGCACATGTATTATCTTTCACCTCTGTGCTCCTTCAAGTTAGCAAAAAGAGAGAAAAAAACACAACCAAACCCAAAAAGCCACAAAACCCAAAAAAAACCCCCAAAGGCAATGCATGTAAATGGGGAGCCCAGAGCTGTGTACATTATCTGGAACTGATCAGACCTGCAGCCAGGCCGGCACGTTTCACAGCCCCGTGTGTTCGAGACGGTGATGGCAGCAGAAGAGCCAACAGGTACCACCACGTGCCTCGGGGGTCAGCACAGGCTGTGGTCCCAGAGTGGGCTCTCTAGCAATGCCCTGCTGGGGTAAGTAGAGATGACAGATTTGGGACAAAAATCTTTGTAAGGGGAAGGTGAAATTATCTCACATCTGCACGCTGGGGTTTAGTGCACCATCCGCAGACACCTGCATTTGTAGCCAATGCTGGAAACGAGATCCTGGCTAGCTAAACAACCCATCCACTTGATGGACAAGGCAGCATGGTAAATCCTCTGTTTTCACTGGCTCATGGTTGTTACGCAGCTTTCTGTCTCCAGCTTCTAGACAGATTTTTGGCTCGTTTAGAGGTTTTTTTACGATCTTCATTGCACTGTGCCATGTGATGGGATACACATGAGGAATGCTGCGCTCAGATCTCTGGGTGCACTCAGCTCTGCGTTTGTATTTACAAAAGACTTCTAGCACTTTGGGGGAAGAAAAAAAAAAATCTAGATTTGCTGAGGCTGTCTGGTCACTGTTGAGAGAAGGCTTATGTGCTTATTTCTTCCAGCTTCTTCTCTAAAGGTCCTTTCCATCTGGAATGAGAGAGCTCAAAAAGACCAGAAGCACACTCAACTTCTACATAAAGCTATCTGAGCCCTGAGGAGAGGAAAACATGGCAATACAGAAAAGAAATCCTTACTGTGTTGGACTAGGTCTTTTGGAATATCTTCGTTCCAGTAATAGTGGCAGCCTAATTCTAGCACACAAGCCCCTGTTTGCATCCAGGTCTCTCCACTGGAAATGCAATATATTATTGAGGACCGCACACTTCACTAGAAGGGAAGTGTATTTTGTGATGTTTCAGAACAGAATTAATGCAAATTGTGTGCATAATCCCACACTAAAGACTTGGCTGACTTGCACTTGAGCAACTTTAGCTGTATTTCCTATCAACACAGTCACTACAAATCAAGGAAATTGCCAGTTAAGCCAACATTAACATCCAGACCAACCTCAACTCGCATGCCTTACCGCCCAAACATAATACCCAAATGCACTCACGGATTTCTTAGCTCCATAACAAACTCTCTTTCATTTCTAACACTCTTGAGTCGGAGTAACAGCCCGTAACAGTAAAAGTATGTCTGCTGGAGGGAATCTTGCTGAGGTCAGATTTGAGATTTGCATTTGTGTGATTTGGAGGAAATGGATGTGTGCAGTGTGGGTGGCCTCACCCTCTGTCCAAGCCTAACCAGCTCAGTGGTCAAGCTGAGAAGGAAACTTGTAGGCAACTTTGTCTCTAAATGTAACTTGGCTTTCTCTCCAACTTTTTACCTTGTTGCTGGTGGGCCTCCCAGGCTTGAAAGTATTTGTTTACCTTCACAAGATTCTTATTTCCTAAGAGGTAAGGTCAGGAGAAACTGAGGCATACGCCCGTACGTGATGTATTCTCCCTTCTGGAGGCTTTGAGACTCTGCTGTTCCTCCCATGAGCTATGTGCTCACAAACCTGCTTCAGCCTCGGAGGAGGAGGAGGGTACACTGGGGAGTGATGTTTGGCCCAGAAAGTCAAGGCTTGGCTGCTGAAATTCTTCTATTTGAGCTTAAGGGAAGGGGGATTCCAGGACTGCCAAGGAGGATAGTGATGGTGTAACATCAGAAAAGTTAATTAAACGTAATCTTGACTGAGAGAGCATTTCTCTGCTGCTCAGTACACAAGAGGATTTTCTTCTTTCCCCTGTTTAATACTAAAATTTCAAAAGTGGCATATGCTCAGACTTAATGGTGACATGCAGGAACCTTCAAACTTGTACTGTACATTTGTTTAGCAGCAATAAGAAGGATGAATTGTGGAACCATGTGTAAATAAAAGAGAAAGTGAGCTCTCCTTTATGACAGAAATTAGAAGATAATTTATCCTTTCATTAGGTGTTGTGAAAAATGTGGAGACCTACATTCTATGCCTGAAGGGTAAAAGATTTCAGTTTTGCTTTACGTGGAGAATCAACACAACAGAGCTATGTGGAAATTCCTGGTTTTCTGTAACAGATTTGTACCTTGAAACTTATTTAAAAGGCACGTCGATGTAGCTATTAAACTGCTAAAATCACTTTGTGCTTGACGTTAATTAAATGTCAGAGAATTACTTTGGGTGTTAACTTCTTAAATTTCATTAATAAGCATAGTAATGCAGACATTTATATACAGAAAAATAAATATAACATCTGTATGCTGTCGTCCTAAATTCTGCCATGATGCCATACTTTTCTTATACATACAAAAATACTTTTTTTTTTGGTACAAACCCCAGGTTTTTTTGCAAATTAACTTGAAGTATCTTAGTAAATTATTAAAAACTGGGTTATGGACTGACATGTGGTGGGAGAAAAAAGTAAATAGCATATATAAGGTAAGATTCTGCTGATCTTCTAATTTAATAATTTCAGTCCATCCATCAGTGACCTGTTTTCAATGAAAGTAGTACCTAATTTAATATTTAACTTGAAAGCTCTTGACTCTGATTTGCTGCCTTTCAAGCAACAAATCAGAGCGTTTCTTTCATACACATTTGTAAGAAAGATACTTCTTCAGGATTGTTTTTGGTATGGGTTGTTTTGGCTGGTTTTTGATAATATCTCTTCTTCCAAAAATTGTTATTGTGGAAACATCCATCTTTTTTATACTGGCTCTTTCCCAGAGAAGAGCATTTTGGGGTTTCACTCTAACATTAATCACTTCAATACTTAGTATTGGTCACATGAGTTCTCAACTTCAGTTAGAATATTCCCAGATTTTTCAGTTGGCTTTCATAGATGTGTATTGTAATACTTAAGTAATAATACTGTTAATATGATTTCAGTTCTGACTCATTTTTATGAAGTGAATCCTTTTGAGTTCAGTAATTTTATGCAACTGTTTTCTTTTTTTCCAGAAAACAAAATGTAAGCCATGCTAGCTTCTTTAGATAGACATTCTTAAGCCTGTGCTTTTGCAGTGATTAATCTCTTGTTCTTTTGTGTTTCTTTTTTCTTTTTCTTTTTCTTTTTTTTTTTTACCCAGGGATGTTGCTGGTCACTACTGACACGTTAGGCCATGATTTCCATGTTTTTCAAATACTGACACATCCTTGGTCATCATCACAAAGTGCCGTCCATCATTTGTATACACTTCACAGGGGAGAGACTGAAGCCAAAGTAAGTTAAACTATTTGCTGAAGAATAATCCCCAGACACCTTATACATTTTGTGTATGTTGGCACTTTAATGTTTGTTTCAGCACACAAAGACCCTTTCTTATGTTCTAGCCACAGAAAGGATAAGAGCACAGCATTTAACCTGGACAATAATAAATTCTTGCCCTTTACAATGAGGTGCTGTCAGATTTATTCAGATATGACACTACCTCCAAAGAGCCCAGATTATTAGCTGTGTTTGTACTTAACCTTTTCTCATGTAACATGTTAAACATTTGTCTAGTGCCCGTGAAGCAGCTGTCAGGGTTTGCTTGACTTTGGTGGTAAAAGCCAAAGGCAGATAATTAGAGAGTTGAAAGGAAGAGTTAATCAAAAGACTGTGATTAATTTTTATCTGCACTTCAGCAAAGCCGGGGAACCTGTTGGAGGCTGCAGTGGACCAGATTTAAGTTCCCAGTTTAAAAACCCCACTCCTAAAGATGGCAGAGTAAATTAAGCTATTAGTGTAAGGTGAAAAAGTCTGAAATTATATTTTTAAAAATGCTCAGTAAGCTGATACACTGATAGAGTGGAAAAAAGTGAGAGGGATCCCTGTGATGGAAGCAGTGCAGCATGCTGTGCCCGAGTCCTTCACTGCAATGCAATGCTTTTAGGCATCAGGATTGGTTCACCTCTGTAGCACTGAGTAACTGTTGAAGAACCTGTTTTAAATACATAAATAAAAATGTCACCACAGGGTAAGAAATGAGTATTGCACTTGCTGATGCAATTACACACTGAAAGCACAGACTTGTGACAGTCTGGCAGATGTAAACTATTGTGACAGAGAGAAGCCTGGGGCTCTATGATTATGACCCTGACACTGGGAGCCTGGATTATTGTGGTACTGTGATTATAGCTCCTTCAAACCTTTTTTTTTTATCCTTCTTTGAGTTTTTGCCTTTCCTTTGTAACAAACAGAAACTGAATGCTTTATTTAGTGTAGTAGCACTTGATAATGTTTCAATCCGTGTGAATTTAAATTATTAGTAGTTTAAGTACTCTAAAGCTTTGCTGCTACTGTACTGGAAAAGTGTTACTATTATCATAGGCAATGGTTTACTACAAGAAGGAATAACTAATCTGGAAAATTATAAGAAATCAGGAAAAATTGACCCTGTACGTTAATATCTATAGTGTTTACAAGTAATTTTTTACAAATCATATAAAGGGCATTGAGATCTGTGTGTGTTCGTATACTCTGTCAGCTGTTCGAGCATGTACCATAATGTGTTTAATGTTCTAGAGTTATTTTTCTTCTACTTTCATACCAAAAATGGGAAATACCCTATGATCAATATTGAAAACCAAAGCAAGGGACTCCAGTCTCTAGGAACAAGGATGTTCTTCTGTTTTTTTACAGCTGATAAATTTGTTTTTAAGGCATATGTTGAAAACCAAACATAACATGTTTTCAAGAATAAACCTTTATTGATACACTTTTTTTTTTTTTGGTTATAGTATTAGCATCTCTGTGAAAGCATTGCATTAACATTCTCATAATCAACATAGTAAAGTTTTTTTCCTAGTTTGCCACATAGTTTCCTTTTGGGATGTGAACAGTATAGCTTTTGGAATGGTGTTAAATAGAGAAAATTCTAACTGGTCTGAGGCGTATTGGTGGATTTTACAACTCCCTTGATAATTAAACCATCCAGCAACAATATCACATTGATACCTGTGATTCTCAATACATGTCTGTCATTTAAAATATTTACATAACATGATGGATGGTTATACTTTTCCTTTTGGAATAACAGGACTTGTAGTTGTTTAGTGAGACGAGTAGTATGTGGTGCTATTCTTTTGTTCCATAAACTTCATGTATGTGTAGCATTAGACAAGAATCTTGGAAGCTGTTCAATTTAAAATTCCTAATTCAGATATTCTGAGACACACACTGGCAGCCTCTGTACCTCCTTTCTTGGTTAGTATTTATACATTTGCAACCAGACATTTTTTCTTATTTTTTTTCCCCCCCTTGGTTTAAAGCTAACTGTGAATCAAGGCCAATGATCTTAAAGGTCACCTTCTGTACTGGAGCTATAAAAAGTTCTAATTTGTGTTGATGGACGTGAGTGATTATCAGTGTCAAAATTTGTTTAGCTAGTACCCATTATAAATTGTTTAAACATCATCATTATGCCCCTGTTATATATGGTATTTTAATGTCCATACTGAAATCATCTGCTCCATATGTGAGATTCTGGCCAATTGTGTTTCACCATACATTTTCCAAATGTGGGGAACCTTCTCTCACAGGCTGATACATGATTTTTCTTTTCTTGCTTTGTGATTAGGAAATGTCTGTCTTGCAAATACTTCTTAATGATATTATATGTCCATTTAGTTCATGGACAAAGAACTGGTACAGGGGTAATGTTGATAAAAGTTCCACATATTTGTTTGAATGGTTGTGTCTAAGCTGCTGGGGACACAGAAATTCCCTTTACAGGATCACTGCTTCTGCACAGACTGACTGTACATGGAGTACAGGGTAAGACCTGTTTTTCCAGAAGTGTTGGCTCTGCAGTGGATGCTTTGTGTAACACGTGACATATCAACTTCACTCTGGGAGCAAACATTGGATAATCATATATTAGCGCTCCAAATGCTGACAGGTATATCTGGTGCTGTAGAATATTTGAACTGTAATTTTGCCAGTTTAGAATATCAGCCCTGAAGTATCCCCTTTAGCAGGGCTGCAGAACTTCCAGTCTCCGGGGTACCTTGTCCTTAGTGATTGGAGGGCAGAGCAAAAGCTTGATATTCTGTCTCCTGAGAGAAGGTGGCAGGAGGTCCCCTCTGTCATTCGTATGCAGAAGTGTCCTAAGTGGATTAAGCTGCACGCTTAATGTATATTAAAGAAAAAGAAGCAAGTGTTGTGATTTAATAATGGTGTCTTCTGATCGATTTACTGCAATCAAGCAGTGTCTCTGAGTCACCCACGTGTCTTTCTACTGAGTCAGATGTATTAGCTGTGCTGGTACTTTGACTTAATGAAAGTACAGAACATATGCTCCATCATGCTTTCATTTTTCTAAATTCCAGACAAACTCTCATTTGAGATTGAGAAATTTCAGTCTGAAAGACTGTTTCTACTTTTTCCTGACCATTTCCAAAATAAAGAGACTGTCTGGAAGGAAATCTATAGGGGTTATATCTTCCCTCATGGACATCAGGATCTTGTCCTTAGGCAAAGCAGAATTTGTGCTAAGCATTTGCAATGAGTTGGCCACTCCAAGCAGGTAGTGTCACTGAAATCAAACCATTAATGAATGGGGTAAAATAGAGACTTTGTACTTTGATTTCTATAAAGGGAAAGTGAAAACTGATTTTAATACAGAATGTTGTGTTTGCATTGTCTATCCTGAGAGCTATACTTATGCTATTTGTAACATCTGCTGGATGGAGGAGGAGGGGATGAGGCTGTTGCAAGTTCCTCCATGAGATAGGCCTTCCCTGCACTGAAGAGCTCCTCACGGCAGACTGCTGCTATTTAGTGTATATTCAATATATGATCATATGCACTTTCTGAACAAGAGCTGGTTGTTTTTCCCTCGAGCGATGTCCAAAGGCACTGCTAGCCATCTTCCAGGGTTTTTGGTTTAGTGATCTTCTTTTTAGGGCTTGTCTGCCAGTCCACGTGATGTTGGCTTCATGCTGCTGAGGGAGATTTAGGTGCTGTGCTGGGTAAGGTCGGTTCTTTGAGCTTGGGCTCCCCTGGATGCAGAGTTAAGGGTAAGTAATAGTGTTCTCCCTGACTCTTCAGAGATAGTCTTCATAATGTGGTTTTCTCTTTCTGCGTTCTTTGAACAATCAAACAGAGCAGTTTGGAGTTTCCAAGCGTTGTTATTGCAGATCTGTCTTGTATTTGCTGACTTTGAGCAGCAATTACAGGAAGAAGCCTTATTCACTGAATAAAACACTGAGGAGTGAGGACTGTGGAGATCACTCAGCTCCTAACAAAGCCACTGTCTTTTTTTGTGTGACTCAGATGAGGCTGGGTTAAGCTGGGAAGTGGTCCTCTGTGTCATATGGGCATTGTGAGGACAATGATCATGAAAGAATGTGAAGTGCTCAGATACTTTATTGGTTCAAGTGATGACAGTCCCAAGGTCACAACTTCTTTTCTGCACATGCAGTCAGAAGTCACAGTTTCAGTTACATTGGATTAATGTCTTTAGTCTCTAAGTGCCACTTATACTTTAGGATTTAATTTTTTTTTACTTCAGAGAGCAAAACCCAGTATGTGTGATGCACTGTGTTACGTCGTGAAGATTCATTGCAAGCGCTGGTGGTATTTAACCATACCAGGGAGAGCACTGAGGTGCTCAGAGCATCTACCCTTGCACAGCTCAGCCATAAAGGGGAAAATTGTGCATGTGCATGTGGTGCACATCTTGGTTAAGGATACGTTTTCTTGTCCTACAGATCCTGCATTGTAAGTCAACACTTACTGCACTTATAGCTTTATCCAAGAGCGTTTTAGAAGGTTCCTGATAAAGGTATAGCATGTTCTGAACCGAGGAAGCTCATTTACATGCAGATGAAAGTTACACTGTCACCTGATGATCCTTTCTCTTTGATCTGAAATTGTAAACAGAAAAAAAATATCCCTGAAAACAGTATTATCTCAACCTAGGACAAACAAACGTAACGATAGCATCAGTGGGCTGGTGGCCAGGGTCCTGTGTAATCTTCTACACTGTCAGACTTTTGTTATTCTGACTCTCAGACTGCTGTTACAACTGACTTCAGTTGACACAGGTAAACAGAGGGGATGATAAAAACATTCCAGCAGGGGCTGCCACAGAACATGTGCAATCTTACGCTTTTCTAGGGAATGCATGAATGGGTTTGTGACGTGATTTCATAGAGTGTTCAAGGTTGTGTCACGTACCATGTCCAGGTAGTGCAACACTGGAGTAGTTTACAAACATTTGATGTAAACCTCCATGG